AATTTGAAGCAATCTTTCCCATAAGAAATAATGGAAATACAATTAATCCGTTCCAGAAACCCAAAATTATTCACAAAAAAATACATTTTATAGAGATTAATTACAGTTTTACATACACACAACAAATGCTATAGTCTTTAATTATGTATAGTAATATAAAATAACATTTTTACTTACCTTTGTTGAAGATTGGTGATGACATCTGGAAGATAGGGAGGAGGGGAGAGGGGTTGGGGTTATTGTTTGGAAGGAGAATCCCCCTCCATGAGGATGACTGAGACAGAAACAGACGACTGTCCACAGTCGTCTGTTTCTGTCTCACAAAATAACTGTCCACAGTCCTCTGTACATCCTGGCAAGCTCAACAAGTCTCACTCCAATCTCATACTTCTGTATTATTTCCTTCTTCACATCTATGGTGTTTCTCACTTTCTTTACCACAGGGGTACCGCTAGCAAGTTTCTTTGGGCCCATGGCAGCTTATTTCACAGCCCCACAAGCACTAAACACAATTAAATAATCGTAAAATGTGTGAATGAGATCGCAGGTTAGTGTTCACTCAAGCATAAACAAAGCTAGACTGCTCACGGGGACGTGGATAGAGCGGGCCAGCGGACAGGTCCTGTACCCGGCGGTCCGAAAATAGGGGCGCGTTCGATAATAGGGACACAGTTTGTCCGAAAAAATGGTCTTATTTTCGAAACGTTCGATATGTGATACGTTCGATTTTTTAGGTTCCACTGTACCTAATTTTATGCTGATGCCAATATGTATAGGGCAAGGAGGAATAACATCTTATGGGGGTGAGGAAGAACCAGTTGTGGGTGTGGGGGAAGCGACTGGGGCAGTGGGTAGAATGAAAGGGGGTAAAGCAGCTGGGATTGATGGGATAAAGATAGAAATGTTAAAAGGAGGTGGGGATATAGTTTTGGAGTGGTCAGTGTTTTTATTTATTAAATGTATGAAAGAGGGTAAGGTACCTAAGGACTGGCAGAGAGCATGCATAGTTCCTCTTTATAAAGGCAAAGGGGACAAAAGAGAATATAAAAATTATTGGGGAAGAAGTCTGTTGAGTATACCTGGTAAAGTGTATAGTGGAGTTATTATTGAAAGAATTAAGAGTAAGACGGAGAGCAGGATAGCAGATGAACAAGGAGGCTTTAGGAAGGGTAGGGGGTGTGTAGACTAAGTGTTTGCAGTGAAACATATAGGTGAACAGTATTTAGATAAGGGTAAGGAGGTTTTTGTGGCATTTATGGATTTGGAAAAAATGTATGATAGGGCGGATAGGGGGCCAGTGTGGCAGATATTGCAAATGTATGGAATAGGAGGTAGGTTATTGAAAGCAATGAAGAATCCTCATGAGGATAGTGAGGCTCAGGTTTGAGTATGTAGGCGAGAGGAAGATTATTTCCCACTAAAAGTAGGCCTTAGACAAGGATGTGTGATGTCACCATGGTTGTTCAATATATTTATAGATGGAGTTGTAAGAGAAGCAAATGCTTGGGTGTTGGCAAGAGGTGTGGGGTTAAAAGATAAAAAATTTAACACAAAGCGGGAGTTGTCACATTTGCTCTTTGCTGATGACACTGTGCTTTTGGGAGATTCTGAAGAGAAGTTGCAGGGGTTGGTTGATGAGTTTGATAGGGTATGTAAAAGAAGGAAATTAAAAGTGAATATAGGAAAGAGTAACCTTATGAGGATAAAAAAAATAGATAATGGAAGATTGGATAGCAGATTGGAGGGAGAGAGTATGGAGATGAATGTATTCACATATTTGGGAGATGATGAGTCAGCAGATGGGTCTATGAAAGATGAGGTGAATCATGGAATTGATGAGGGTAAAAAGGTGAGTGATGCACTGAGGAGTCTGTGGAGACAAAGAACTTTATCCATGAAAGCAAAGAGGGTAATGTATGAAAGTATAGTTACAACAACGCTCTTGTATGGGTGTGAGGCATGGGTGGCGAATGTTGCAACAAGGAGAAGGCTGTAGGCAGTGGAGATGTCATGTCTGAGGGCAATGTGTGATGTGAATATAATGCAGAGCATCCATAGTTTGGAGAATAGGAGGAGGTGCAAGATTACCAAAACTATTATCCAGAGGGATAAGGAAGGGTTATTGAGATGGTTTGGACATGTAGAGAGGATGGAATGAAATAGAATGACTTTGAGAGTGTATAAATCTGTAGGGGTCGGCCTAGGAAAGGTTGGAGGGAGGGGGTAAAGGAGGTTTTGTGTGCGAGGGGCTTGAACTTCCAGCAAGCGTGCATGAGCATGTTAGATAGGAGCAAATGGAGACAATGGTTTTTAGGACTTGAGGTGCTGTTGGAGTACAAGCAAGGTAACATTTATGAAGGGATTCAGGGAAACTGGCAGGCTGGACTTGATTCCTGGAGATGGGAAGTACAGTTCCAGCACTCTGAAGGAGGGGTGTTAATGTTGCAGTTGTATAACTGTAGTGTAAGCATGCCTCTGGCATGCTACCCTACCTTGGTGGGAAACGGCCAATGTGGTAATAAAAAAAATAATAAATAAAACCAATAACGACACCAAATCCATCAAAATTAGCCGAGACTCACTGATACTGGTACCAATACCAATACTTTGGCACATCCCTAATCCCATATCATTTCTTTTTTAACTCAATGCCCATTTCCCACCAAGACAGGGTAAGCCAGGAAGAAATCACATTTACTAATATTCACCCCATTGTCATCCTCTTCTTTCAACAAACTGGCCGTATCCCACTGAAGCAGGGTGGCCTACAAAGAAAAAACGAAAGTTTCTCTTTTTAACTTTAGTAATGTATACAAGGGAAAGGGTTACAAACCCCTTGCACCCGGCATTTTAGTCACTTCTTATGACACGCATGGCTTATGGGGGAAGAATTCTGTTCCACTTCCCCATGGAGAGCATTGTCATCTTTATAATGAAAATGGAGGAATGATAATAAAGGATGGGGAGGGGGGATAAAACCAGTGCATACTGTATATCATATGCAAAACTATGTCTTTAGCATGCAGACATTACACTCCTTCCCTGCTCTGTATTATTAGAGATAACAAGGTTAGAGGGAGGGGGTAAAAGAGATTTTGTGAACGAGAGGCTTGGACTTTCAGCAAGCATGTGTGAGCGTGTTAGATAGGAATGAATGGAGACGAATGGTTTTTGGGACCCGACGAGCTGTTGGAGTGTGAGCAGGGTAATATTTTGTGAAGGGATTCAGGGAAACCGGTTAGCCGGACTTGAGCCCTGGAAATGGGAAGTACAGTGCCCGCACTTTAAAGGAGGGGTTTGGGATATTGGCAGTTTGGAGGGACTTATAAACTGTTGTATCTGAGAGCCTCTGCAAAGACAGTGATTATGTATGAGTGAGGGGAAGGTGTTGAATGATGATGGAAGTGTTTTCTTTTTGGGAATTTTCTTTCTTTATGGGTCACCCTGTCTCAGTGGGAGATGACCAACGTGTTGAAAAAAAAAAATAAGAAAATAAGAGAGTATCAAATGAGTAATGCAAATTATGACCTGGCAAAAAGAATGTCAAAGACATCAAGACTGCAGGGTAAACTAGACCAGAGATGCATTTCAAAATACAGTGGACCCCCAACTTATGATATTAATCCGTTCCAGAGAGCTCACTGTTGGACGAAATTATCGTAAGTCAGATTAATTTTCCCCATAAGAAATAATGGAAATTCAATTAATCCATTCCAGACACCCAAAAGTATGAAAAAAAAATTTTAACAGATGAAATATACATTTTCCTAAGCACAAAAAGAAGGATACATGCACAATATACTGTACTAAATGAAGAATAAATGACACTTGCCTTTATTGAAGCTGTAGTGATGTGTGATGAGATGAGAGAATGGGAGATGGGAGTGTATTAATTTTTGGAAGGGGAATCCCCTTCCATGAGGACTTTAAGTAGCAAGTCCTTCTCCAGGGTTACTTCCCTTCTTCTTTTAATGCCACTGGGAACAACTTGAGAGTCACTGGACCTCTGTCACACCAAAAATCTGTCCATAGAGCTCTGTACCTCGTGTTCCTTTAAGATTTTTCCTAAAGTGTTCAAATTGTCATTGTAAAAGTCGACCAGCCGCTCAGTTGTCCAATGTAAGACCCCAGCGGGCTGTGGTATACATTGGACTGCTCGATAGCAGTAACAGCTGGTGATCAGGCCCTGTTCACCAGAGGCTGTCACAGATTGGCCACAGGGGTGTTGCCCGAACATCTCAGGTTACTCAGGTAACCATGTACACTTGATTATTGTCATGACACCATATTTACAACCAACTGCAGGGTAATTATTTTTTTTTTATATCACACTGGCGATTCCCACAAGGCAGGTGTGCCCGAAAGAAAACTTTCACCATCATTCACTCCATATGTTTGCCAGAAGTGCTTTACACTATTTTGTTAAACTGCAAAATTACAACCCCTCCTGCAGGGTAAATTGGCATAAAATGATCTGAAGTTTTGCACAGAGGTTTGTTGTTACCATACAAATAATGCCTGAAAAGTGCAGCTTGCATCTCTAAAATTTGTATTTTTTCATTGATCCCTATTGGACATATAGCAGGCATGTGTGAGCGTGTTAGATAGGAGTGAATGGAGACGAATGGTTTTTGGGAACTGATGAGCTGTTAGAGTGTAAGCAGGGCAATATTTTGAGAAGGGATTCAAGGAAACCAGTTAGCAGGACTTGAGTCCTGGAGGAGGGAAGTACAGTGCCTACACTTTAAAGGAGGGGCTTGGGATATTGGCAGTTCAGAATGACATCTGAACTGTCATATCTGAGTGCCTCTGCAAAGACAGTGATTATGTGTGAATGATGGTGAAAGTGTTTCTTTTTTGGGTCACCTTGCCTCGGTGGGAGATGGCTAACGTGTTGAAAAAAATATATATAAACACACACAAATCATATTTAAAGCTATCCACTTACTTGCTTATGTACTTACTTGCTTATTTGTAAACTTTCATTGTGTTACATGTAGGAGCGCAAGCGAGAAACCTGGACTCATCGGCGCCTGGAAAATTTGAAGGATGTAATAACTTATTTCACCATTATTAAATCAAACAAAGAGTTGGAGCATGGCAAACATTTCTTCATACCTACAGGACTGGCAGCCTTTACACCTTTGATATTTAAGGTATGTTATGACACAGGTATAGCCTTCTCCTGCTCTTGGTCTTAGATCATAATCATCTTCCAGTCTTATAATGTAGTTGTTTTGTTTGTGGTCTGTTTTCCTTGCCATAGTCACATTTAGTAGCATATAACAGTATTCTTAATAGAAAGTGATCTCTCTTTCCAAGTGATTTTGATATTTTGTTGAGAATTTATTTGTCTTTTCCACATCCAGTTTGTGAGGCATATAACACTTTATTATTATATTAACCCTTTCAGGGTCCAGAGGCCAAATTTCAAAGTGTGCACCAGGGTCCAAGAATTTTCAAAAAATGAATTTTGCTATTTTTTCTTATGAAGTGGTAGAGAATCTTTTTCTGAAGGTAATAAAACAAAAAGTACGAAATTTAATGGAAATTTGATGAAATTGTGCTCTCGTGAATTTTGATGTGTCAGCGATATTTACACATCAGCGATTTTACCGACTTTGACTCCCATTTTAGGCCAATTACATTATTCCAGTCAACCAAATTCTTAGCTGTTTCACTAGTATTACTTCTATTCTATCGACTGAGCACAAGAAATCACTACAAAATAAAGTGATCGGAAATTGGTAATTTGGCCAATTTAACACAAGTTCAAAATATTCCAATTTCAAAATAGGGCCCAGAATAAACAATGCAGGCATTCCTGGCACTAAATTGACATTTCCTCTGTTCATTAGTTACATTTTCAGTCTTCACAAATGAATTCCAGTTTGATTTTTTCTTCACATAATGAATTTTATTCAAACCAAAAATAGAAATTTATGTTATGCAATATTGTAATAATTGTATAAATAATATCACCACATTTGTGAACATATATTAGACCCATCAGCTGGCATGTATTAGACGTGTGAGGTCATTTGTTTACTCTTGAACATTGGCAAAAGTTTAACATTTCCGCTACTTTGAGCTCAGTTTCAAGCCATTTCCGGTACTAAAACCAATCAAAATCATATCTATTTCTGTAATATATCTTCCATTCTATCAAATGAGATCAAGAAATCGTAAATACAACTGTAAAAAACATACAAAAAAACAATGCAAAGTTGCTGTTTTAATCGAAAATTACGGTCTCAGTTTTTTTTCTCATTATGCACTGTGTGCTGCAGGATTTGTTTTATGTGGTGCACACTTACCACACAGATGTATTCTCTCATATCTAGACCTAAATTTACCACTCACAGCTTATCAGAATGAGCTGAGCTCATGGCGTAGATCTACGGTTTGGACCCTCAACTCAAAGCTGTAGATCTACGGCACGAACCCTGAAAGGGTTAACACAAAGTCTTAATACAGTGGACCCTCGCCTAACAAACGCATCGCATAACGTTAAATTCGCCTAACGATACATTTTAACACTAACTTTTGCCTCGGCTAACGCTAAAAAACTTCGCCTAACGATATTCGTTCTCGGGTACCAATTAATATCGTTAGGTGAGGGTCACTGTATAATGAGAATTACAATGAATATTTGTTTGTCTTTCCAGCCTCTTAAGTTATCAAGCTCAGTTTATTTTTATGCTGTATTTCCTAGAAATTTGTAGGAGATATGTTCCTAGAGGTCCCAGTAAATTCAGGAGGCCCAAATACCACTAAATACTATCTATATTTAAAAAAATTATTTTCCATGAAAATTTTTTGTCTTCAGGACTTTTTTCATATTTCCCGGCTTCATAAGTTTGCTATTACTCAAATTAAATTTTAGCATCTATATATTCAACTATTCCTGATGTCTATTCTAGTGTTCCTGCAGCCTACATTCATCTTTTTAAATCTGTATTCTTATTATTTTGAAAGCTGTAAACAAGGATATGTAATATTTAATTCCAATTGTCAAGTCAAAAATATGCACTAGAAACAACATAGAACCTAGCACTGATTCTTGTGGAACTGTCCTAGTAACACTCCATCATCCTGATTTTCCATCCCTTATAGTAATTTTTTTATTTTGTGTGTGTTTTTGTAATCTTGTCTTTTAGTACAGTGGGACCTTGACTTACGAGTTTAATCCACTCCAGGAGCTAGCTCATAACTCAATTTACTCATATTTCAAATTAATTTTGCTCATTTAAATTAATTGAAAAGCCATTAATTCATTCCTGCACTCTGGAGAGACGAAAAACAGTACTTGAATATGACACTATTATCAATTGTACGGCTTATTTATCTATCTATAGCCCCACTCTACAAAGGGGGCAGTAAAGCAATAGCAAAGAACTATAGACCGATAGCACTAACATCCCATATCATAAAAATCTTTGAAAGAGTCCTAAGAAGCAAGATCGCCACCCATCTAGAAACCCATAAATTACACAATCCAGGGCAACATGGGTTTAGAACAGGTCGCTCCTGTCTGTCTCAACTATTGGATCACTACAACAAGGTCCTAGATGCACTAGAAGACAAAAAGAATGCAGATGTAATACATACAGACTTCGCAAAAGCCTTCGACAAGTGTGACCATGGCGTAATAGCACACAAAATGCATGCTAAAGGAATAACAGGAAAAGTTGGTCGACGGATCTATAATTTCCTCACAAACAGAACACAAAGAGTAGTAGTCAACAGAGTAAAGTCCGAGACAGCTACGGTGAAAAGCTCTGTTCCACAAGGCACAGTACTTGCTCCCATCTTGTTCCTCATCCTCATATCTGACATAGACAAGGATGTCAGCCACAGCACCGTGTCTTCCTTTGCAGATGACACCCGAATCTGCATGACAGTGTCTTCCATTGCAGACACTGCAAGGCTCCAGGCGGACATCAACCAAATCTTTCAGTGGGCTGCAGAAAACAATATGAAGTTCAACGATGAGAAATTTCAATTACTCAGATATGGTAAACACGAGGAAATTAAATCTTCATCAGAGTACAAAACAAATTCTGGCCACAAAATAGAGCAAAACACCAATGTCAAAGACCTGGGAGTGATCATGTCGGAAGATCTCACCTTCAAGGACCATAACATTGTATCAATCGCAGCTGCTAGAAAAATGACAGGATGGATAATGAGAACCTTCAAAATTAGGGATGCCAAGCCCATGATGACACTCTTCAGGTCACTTGTTCTATCTAGGCTGGAATATTGCTGCACACTAACAGCACCTTTCAAGGCAGGTGAAATTGCTGACCTAGAAAATGTACAGAGAACCTTCACAGGCGCGCATAACGGAGATAAAACACCTCAATTACTGGGAGCGCTTAAGGTTCCTGAACCTGTATTCCCCTCTAACGCAGGCGGGAGAGATACATGATTATATACACCTGGAAAATCCTAGAGGGACTAGTACCGAACTTGCACACGAAAATCACTCGCTACGAAAGCAAAAGACTTGGCAGACGATGCAACATCCCCCCAATGAAAAGCAGGGGTGTCACTAGCACGTTAAGAGACCATACAATAAGTGTCAGGGGCCCGAGACTGTTCAACTGCCTCCCAGCATACATAAGGGGGATTACCAATAGACCCCTGGCAGACTTCAAGCTGGCACTGGACAAGCACCTAAAGTCGGTATCTGACCAGCTGGGCTGTGGCTTGTACGTTGGTTTGCGTGCAGCCAGCAGTAACAGCCTGGTTGATCAGGCTCTGATCCACCAGGAGGCCTGGTCGCAGACCGGGCCGCGGGGACGTTGACCCCCGGAACTCACTCCAGGTAATCACAATTCATCTGACATAATAAGCAATATTATTAACATAGAAACATGATATGCACTCTAGAATGAATAAAATAGGCCATAATATGGTGGCAGAGGCAGCGGTGGAAGCGTCCACCATTTTCTGTCCAACTTTGACTATAGAGTATCTTCCCATGCTCTTACTGTAAGAGAAAATGGAGTATTTTTGAGGCTAACTGCAGTAGATCACTAGTTTTCTAAGGAAAACACTGAAAATATCATTTATAAACACATAATAAATCATAATACACTACAGAATGTAAAGAAATAATAAACTGTTCATATAAAGTGTATATGTACTTATATGGAGACAAAGAAGGGAATGTATGTAAGTATAGTAGTACCAACACTCTTATATGGATGTGAAGCTTGGGTGGTAAATGCAGCAGCGAGGAGACGGTTGGAGGCAGTGGAGATGTCCTGTTTAAGGGCAATGTGTGGTGTAAATATTATGCAGAAAATTCGGAGTGTGGAAATTAGGAGAAGGTGTGGAGTTAATAAAAGCATTAGTCAGAGGGCAGAAGAGGGGTTGTTGAGGTGGTTTGGTCATTTAGAGAGAATGGATCAAAGTAGAATGACATGGAAAGCATATAAATCTATAGGGGAAGGAAAGAGGGGTAGGGGTCGTCCTCGAAAGGGTTGGAAAGAGGGGGTAAAGGAGGTTTTGTGGGCGAGGGGCTTGGACTTCCAGCAAGCGTGCATGAGCGTGTTAGATAGGAGTGAATGGAGACGAATGATACTTGGGACCTGACGATCTGTTGGAGTGTGAGCAGGGTAATATTTAGTGAAGGGATTCAGGGAAACCGGTTATTTTCATATAGTCGGACTTGAGTCCTGGAAATGGGAAGTACAATGCCTGCACTTTAAAGGAGGGGTTTGGGATATTGGCAGTTTGGAGGGATATGTTGTGTATCTTTATACGTATATGCTTCTAAGCTGTTGTATTCTGAAGCACCTCTGCAAAAGCAGTGATAATGTGTGAGTGTGGTGAAAGTGTTGAATGATGATGAAAGTATTTTCTTTTTGGGGATTTTCTTTCTTTTTTGGGTCACCCTGCCTCGGTGGGAGACGGCCGACTTGTTGAAAAAAAAAAAAAAAATGTACTTAAACAACTGGAGCATAGATAGTGGCGGAGGTTGAGTGTGGAGGAGGTTGAGTGTAGGGGAGGTAGAGGGTGGGAGATTCGCAGTGTGGTATATGATGTTAGTGGCCCTGTAAACCTCCAGCAACAACATTGTTTTGTTTTATTGCTGAACTTAACTCATACAATTTGTTTTATCACTTAACTGATACAGTTTGTTTTGTTAAATCACTGAACATAACTGATACAATTTGTTTTGGTAAATCACTGAATATAGCTGATACAATGTGTTTTGTTTAATCACTGAACATAACTGATACAATTTGTTTTGTTTAACTTTTCACTTCTTTCACTTGTTCTTACTTTTCACTGCCTCGTGCCTTCTCTCAGATGATACCCTCAGTCATGGTATCTCCTGCGAGCTGCTTCTTTCTCAACCATGTCAGCATCAGCTCCTCCATCTTTTCATGGACAGAGGTCCACTGCTTACCGGACGTTTTGAAATCAGCTGTGCTAACTAGCAGCAGCATTCATAATTATTATTATGTATGTATTATGTACATAATATTTACGTAATTGTAATAATAATTATTATTATTGATAATTTAGGAAACTGAAGCTCCACCATTATTATAATAATTATTATGTATTTTTATTTTTATTATTATTATTATTAATTTAGGGAACTAAAGCACATATCCAATTCCCTAGATCAAGAGACCCTCACCAGAGTCAAGGAACCTAAATTATCAATAATAATAATAATTATTATTACAATTACGTAAATATTATGTACTTAATACATGCATAATAGTACGTAATTATGAATGCTGCCACTAGTTACTGCAGCTGATTTCAAAACGTCCGGTAAGCAGTACACATGTTTGCATCGCTGTGGGAGCAGTTCTCTCCTGCTTTTCTTGCATTTTTGACAGTCATTTGGCCAAATTTTGCTTTTCTAACCATTGGTCCTAAGAAAATAAGTGCAAAGGGCAGTGCTGAGAAGAAAAGACAATGATTACCATGGAATTAAAGCATGAAATCATAGATAAACATAAGCTAGGTGCATGAGCTGTTCATTTAGCCAGACAATACCAGCAAAGTACATCTACTATATGTACGATACTAAAGCAGCAGGAGTCGATAAAGGCTATAGCGCCAGCCAAGGGTGTTACAATAATGTCTAAGCTGCGGACATTAGTTAGAGTATGTAGGAAAGAGGGAGATTATTTCCCAGTAAAAGTAGGCCTTAGACAAGGATGTGTGATGTCACCGTGGTTGTAAGAGAAGTAAATGCGAGGGTCTTGGCAAGAGGCGTGGAGTTAAAAGATAAAGAATCACACATAAAGTGGGAGTTGTCACAGTTGCTCTTTGCTGATGACACTGTGCTCTTGGGTGATTCTGAAGAGAAGTTGCAGAGGTTGGTAGATGAATTTGGTAGGGTATGTAAAAGAAGAAATTTGAAAGTGAATACAGGAAAGAGTAAGGTTATGAGGATAACAAAAAGATTAGGTGATGAAAGATTGGATATCAGATTGGAGGGAGAGAGTATGGAGGAGGTGAATGTATTCAGATATTTGGGAGTGGACGTGTCAGCGAATGGGTCTATGAAAGATGAGGTGAATCATAGAATTGATGAGGGGAAAAGGGTGAGCGGTGCACTTAGGAGTCTGTGGAGACAAAGAACTTTGTCCTTGGAAGTAAAGAGGGGAATGTATGAGAGTATAGTTTTACCAACACTACTGTATGGGTGTGAAGCATGGGTGATGAATGTTGCAGCGAGGAGAAGGCTGGAGGCAGTGGAGATGTCATGTCTGAGGGCAATGTGTGGTGTGAATATAATGCAGAGAATTCGTAGTTTAGAAGTTACGAGGAGGTGGGGATTGCCAAAACTGTTGTCCAGAGGGCTGAGGAAGGGTTGTTGAGGTGGTTCGGACATGTAGAGAGAATGGAGTGAAACAGAATGACTTCAAGAGTGTATCAGTCTGTAGTGGAAGGAAGGCGGGGTAGGGGTCGGCCTAGGTTGGAGGGAGGGGGTAAAGGAGGTTTTGTGTGCGAGGGGCTTGGACTTCCAGTGGGCATGCGTGAGCGTGTTTGATAGGAGTGAATGGAGACAAATGGTTTTTAATACTTGATGTGCTGTTGGAGTGTAAGCAAAGTAACATTTATGAAGGGATTCAGGGAAACCGGCAGGCCGGACTTGAGTCCTGGAGATGGGAAGTACACTGCCTGCACTCTGAAGGAGGGGTGTTAATGTTGCAGTTTAAAAACTGTAGGGTAAAGCACGCTTCTGGCAAGACAGTGATGGAGTGAATGATGGTGAAAGTTTTTCATTCTCGGGCCACCCTGCCTTGGTGGGAATTGGCCAGTGTGTTAATAAATAAAAATAATAATAATAATAATAACAATAATAATAAAATAATAAAAATAATTATAATAACAATAGAGCTTCAGTTCCCTAAATTATCAATAATAATATTTATAATAATAATAATTATTACAATAGTGATAAAGCTTCAGTTCCCTAAATTAATAATAAGAATACATTATTAAAACAACGAGAGCTTCAGAACGAAGCCAACTCAGTGAACTCTTTACTTAGCTGTGGGAGCAGTTCTTTCCTGCTTTGCACTGTTTACTTCACTGTGGGAGCAGTTCTCTCCTGCTTTGCTTACATTTTTGAGAGTCATTTGGTCAAATTTCACTTTTCTAAGCATGGGTCCTAAGAAAGTAAGTGTAAAGGACAGTGCTGAGAAGAAAAAGAGGATGATTTCCATGGAATTAAAGCATGAAATCATAGATAAACAAGAGGTGTCCAGGTTTTGGGTTGAGGGGGAAGTGGGCTCGTAACTCAGAGCAAAAAATCGACCGATTGACGGCTCATATCTCAAAAAACTCATACGTTGGGACACTCGTAAGTCAAGGTTCCACTGTATATGTTTTGATAGATACACTGATTTTTGCTGATTAATATAGTATTTCCATCACCAGGACATACTTGGCTGTCAAGTATACACTTGCCTAGATGAATGTGACAAAGCAGTAGCAGAGTATGCCAAGAAGTATGGTGCCATGGGCATCCTAGGCCAGGATTCTGATTACATAATTTATAACACAGCTCATTACTACTTCTCCATAAACCATTTAAACCTTGAAACCCTTGATACTATCATGTATGACCGCAATGCTCTGTCTCGGGTTCTACACATCAGTGTTGATCAACTGCCTGTGCTCTCCTGCTTAATAGGTAAGTAACTGATTCTGATCTAATCATCTGGAATAATTTTGAATTTTAAAAATTCAATCTGTAGGAATTCTGCTTTTAATATCCAGATACAGGTTTTGAGTTGGGGTTCATTTTTATGCATTTCAGTATAAATTACAATAAAGCTAATGCAACAAAGATCAGGAAAATTACAGAGTGGATAATGAGAACTTTCAAAACAAAAGAAAAAATGCTAATGATTGCACAACACTATTCAAAACACTTGTGCTTTCACATCTAGAATACTGCTTTGTATTCATAGCTGCATTCAAGGCAGAGGATATCAGAACCAGAAAATGTACAGAAAACATTTGCAGCCCATATGAAGAGAGTGGTGAGAGAGTGCAAAAGGAGAGCAGATGATAAAGTGGGAGAGAGACTGTCAAGAAATTTAAATGAATATAAGAAAAATTTTTGGAGTGAGTTAAACAAGTTAAGAAAGCCTAGGGAACAAATGGATTTGTCAGTTAAAAACAGAGTAGGGGAGTTAGTAGATGGGGAGAGGGAGGTTTTGGGTAGATGGTGAGAATATTCTGAGGAACTTTTAAATGTCGACGAAGAAAGGGAGGCAGTAATTTCATGTACTGGACAGGGAGGTATACCATCTTTTAGGAGTGAAGAAGAACAGGATGTGAGTGTGGGAGAGGTGCGTGAGGCATTATGTAGAATGAAAGGGGGTAAAGCAGCTGGAACTGACGGGATCATGACAGAAATGTTAAAAGCAGGGGGGGATATAGTGTTGGAGTGGTTGGTATTTTTGTTTAATAAATGTATAAAAGAGGGGAAGGTACCTAGAGATTGGTGGAGAGCATGTATAGTCCCTTTATATGAAGGGAAGGGGGACAAAAGAGATTGTAAAAATTATAGAGGAATAAGTTTACTAAATATACCAGGAAAAGTGTACCGTAGGGTTATAATTGAAAGAATTAGAGGTAAGACAGAATGTAGGATTGCGGATCACAAGGAGGTTTTAAGTGGTAGGGGATGTGTAATAAGTGTTTACATGAAGCTAATGTGAACAGTATTTAGATAAAGGTGGGAAGTTTTTATTGAATTATGGTTTTAGAAAAGGCATGTAGAGTGGATGGGGGAGCAATGTGGAGATGTTGCAAGTTATATGGAATAGGTGGTAAGTTACTAAATCTGTAAAGAGTTTTTGGGGATAGTGGGTCAGGTTAGGGGGTAGGTTGTGGATGAGTTTGGGAGGTGTGTAAAGGTAGAATTGAAAGTGAAAAAGAAAGAGTAAGGTAAATTGGGGTAAAATGTTTTAAAATAAAAAAAAATTGGATATCAAATTTTGGGGGGAGTGTGGAAGAAGTGAATGTTGTCGATATTGGGAGTTGACGTGTGGGGCGGATGGATTTATGAAGGAGAGGTTAATCAAGAATTGTGGGGGAAAAAAAGGTGAGTGGTGCATTGGGTATATGTGGAAAAAAAAAACATTATTATGGAGGCAAAAAAGGAATGTATGAAAGTATAGTATACCAACACTCTTATATGGGTGTAAGCGGGGTTGTAAATGCAGCATAGGGGGTGGTTGGAGGCAGGGGGAAATTTCCCTGTCTAGGGAAAAATGTGAGTTGTAAATTTATGCAAAAATTCGGAGTGTGGAAATTTGGAGAAGGTTGGAGTTAATAAAATATTGTCAGAGGACTAAAGAGGGGGTTTTTGAGGTGGTTTGGTCATTTAGAGAGAATGGATCAAAGTAAAGACATGGAGAGATTTAAATCTTTAGGGGAAAAAGGGGGTGGGGGTTTTCCCGAAAAAGGTTTGGGAAAGGAAGGGGTTTTTAAAAGGGAGGTTTTTTGGGTAAGGGGGCTTGGCTTCCAGGGCGTCGGAGCGTGTTCGATAGGGTTTAATGGAGACGAAAGTATTGGGGCCGACGATCTTTTGGGGGTGAGCAGGGTAATATTTAGTGAAGGGGTTCGGGGAAAACCGTTATTTTTATTAGCCGGACTTGGCCTGGAAATGGGAAATATAATGCCTGCACTCTAAAAGGGGGGGTTTGGGGGATTGACGGTTTGGGGGATATGTTCTGTTCTTTATATGTATATGTTCAAACTTTTGTTCCTGAGCCCCTCTGCAAAAAAAGTTTTATGTGGAGTGGGGTAAAAAAGTTGAATGATGAAAGTATTTTCTTTTTGGGGGATTTTCTTTTTTTTTGGGTCCCCTCTTCGGTGGGGACGGCCGACTTGTTAAAAAAAAAAAAAAGGTAAAAAAAAAGCAGGTTCAAAAGCTACACACCACCCTAATAGGGGGGGAGTAAAAAAAAAAAAAATCCAAATGACAATAAAAATAAGAGCATGGTCAACTCTACCCCCAAGACTCTTAACCTGCTGAAAGCAGAAGTCAAAAGTTTTTCTAGAAACGTGTAGAAGTTTTTAAAAGGAAACTGAATCATTCCCTTGCCAAATCCCACACTGATCGGCTGTGAGGGCCATTGTGCTAATGGGAAATTAAAAAGCAACAGCCTGGTAGAATAGGCACTCGAAAGGGAAAGCTGGGCTATAGGTCAATTGGTAGAGTACAAACCCCTTGGAATCATTCATGGGTTTTCACAGGTAAAATTTTTTAAAGGGGCCTCATGTCTCAGGCCATAATTTTTCCCAATTTCCCATCTTATGGCATACATTTGCCTCCATTTTAAAATTGGTTACGGGGATGGGATTGCAATATTTTTTTATGAACCTCAGCTTTTTTAAGATACAATTGAAAAACTATTAAAATCATTAAGTTTCATGAAATTTGTGTTTGCTGCCTCCCAATATCTGTTTCACCTTAAAAAAATTTTATTGATGTTTTTTTGAGCTATGCAGCTCAGTGCAGACAAGGCAGGCAGGTGCATTGGAGAGGGAAAATCAGAGAATGATGAGGAAAAGGGGAAATTGGACAATTGTAATAAGAGGTCTACAGTAGATTCATCCATTAGTCTGTATAGTAATGGTTTAAAAAATAATAATAAACTTTTTTCAGCTGATACAATGACTGTAATAGGGGAATAACTTTAGGGGTGCATAGAAAGCCCCTTTATATGCAGGTTTTCATTATGACCTTTATAAATACACTATGGTATGCTAAAAAAAAGATCAGAACAGAAGAAATGCAGCCCATCCCATGTTTCATAAAACTCTAGCATTTAGTAAACCTTTTTAGTGGGTGTCACATATAACTGTGTATTGAGGCCAAGTCCCCTCACTTAGTTCTATGTCATGAGTCAGGTCACGATAAGCGTAGTAGAAATTTTTGGCCTAAATATAAGAATGGGGCTGTGTTGAGTGTGCACAGTATTAAAAAAAATTCCCCCCAAAAATGGGGCATGATGGGAAACAAAACTCTGACCCTGTAAAGGTACCCCGAGTTTCACCTAATTCTTCCAAAGGCTGTTTGAGTGCCCCTTTCCGAAGAATTTGTTCTCATCGGGGAAAAATGTAAATTAGATTAGTTCATTTCAGACCCCCAAAAATAACCCCACAATAATAAATTACATAATTGTTCGAGTTGGAAGCTGTACGAAATCAGGGTACGACGTATAGGGTTTAAATACGACTTTGGGTGTTTTCTTGTTTTTATTGGATGTTTCTTGGTATCATTTGATAAAATGGAAGAAATACTACTGAAATAGAGATGACTTTGGTTGGTTTCATGACCTGAAGTAGCTAGAAATTGAGCTCAAAGTAGAAAGAAATATTTGATTATTTCAATTTTTCTGAGGACAGGTAAGGTTACCCTACACACTCTAGTCTGTATTGTGTATTTTTAATAGGTCTGATGACTCATTTATTGTGTGATTATTAATTTAAAAATAGAGGCAAGTGTAGTATAGAAAAGGGCTTGGGAATGTAATTAATGAAGGGAAGAAATGTTGTTTTAGTGCCAAGACTGTCTTCATTGTTTATTACGGATTTTATTATTAAATTGGTATTTTTTAATTTTGTGTAAAATTGGTCAAATTACCAACTTCTGTGCACAATATAACTTTGCAACTGCATAATTCCATAAGTTTTCCATAAAATTTTGTACTTTTGGTGCCATTACCTTCAGATAAAGATTCTCTACCATTTCAAAAGCAAAATTTTTTTTTTTTTTTTTTTTTCAAAAAGTGGACACAGCAGTACGCACAGATCAATATTAATTTTGGGGATCTGGACAGTGAAAAGCTTAAGAGTGGCACTTAAGTTTGTCATTACCATACTTAATTCTTGCTTGGGGATATGAAATGTGGACTCATCTTGCTTTTATTACCTCTAAAGTTTCCTGGCAACTAAAACAGTTGGTTCATATCATTGATTTATTTATATAAGGTATGTGTTGGAAGATTTGATATCAATTGATAAATTATCACAGTTAACATTATAATTGCTTTCCTGATGGTTTACAAGCCTCATTTGTAAAGCCAGTTGCAATGTCCTTCAAGAGTTTTATGTTTGCACTCATGTATCAGGCATAAGCATAACCCATAGAGCTGAGATGGCACATTTAATGTTTAATTTTGTTGTTTGTTATTAAAGGAAATGATGTGATCCGTCAAGAGGATCTGTTATTGTTCCACCAGCAGTCGCTAAAGATGTCAAGTCATCACCACCACCGTCATCATAACCGGCCCCCACCAGAGATTCTAATCCCCAAGGTTGCCACCTTTATCAATACACAACCTTCTATGGATCATCTCCTTCAGCAGCTTCCCCTCCTTGCAAGGTCAGAACTTGTGTATACATTACTCTCAAACCTCAGTAGGGATAAAAGCTAATATAAAAGATATGATTAGAGTTTATATATACAGTGGAACCTCAAAAATCGAACTGCTCCCAACACAACCAATTATGTAAGTGTATTTTTGTAAGTGCTTTTATAAGTGTATTTTTGAGGGTCTAAAATGGACTAATCTAATTTACATTATTCCTGATGGGAATAAATTCATTCGGTAAAGGCACTCGAACAGCCTTCTGGACTGAAGAAAGTTCGATATTTGAGGTTCCACTGTACATATATAGTACTGTATATGATGTCTCAATAATGCGATTAATTGCAGGAGAAAACATTATACTATATTAAAAACAAACAAGTATGTATTTGTGTACAGGGATTGAATATGAGATGGGATGGAGTATGGAGGAAGTGGATAAATTTAAGTAGTATTTGGGAGTGGACATGTTAGCAGATGGGTCTACGAAAGACAAGGTGAACCATAGAATAGATGAGTGGAAAAAAGGGGACCATGTTGAGGCATCTTTGGAAATAAAGTATTAAGTTAATCTATGAAGGCAGAAAAAGGGGGATTGTACCAAAGTATAGTGGTGCCAAGATTTTAATGTGGGTGGAAGGCATTGACTTTGAGCATTGTAGTGAGAAGGCATGAAGCAGTGGAGTTGTCATGTTTAGGAGCAGTGTGTGGTGTGAATGTTATGCAAAGAATTTAGAGTTTAGAAATTTGAAGATAGTGTGGGATCACCAAAAGTATGATTCAAAGGGCTGAGGAGGGATTGTTAAGGCAGTTTAAACATTGATAGAGGATGGAGAGGAATAGGATGACAAAGAGGATGTATACATCTTGGGTGGTGGGTAGGAGGGATAAGGGTTGTCCCAGGAATGATTAGAGGGAGGAGATAACTAAGACATTTAAGTTTTTGGGGCTTGAGCATCTGATAGGCTTATGTGAGTGTGTTAAAAGGGGTGAATGGATACAAGTAATTTTTAAAGAAGGTGCTAATGAAGCATGAGCAAAGTTACATTGATGAAGGGCTTCATGGAACCCGGTTAACTGATTTAAGAGTCTTGGAAATGGGCAGGGCAGTGCCTGCACTCTGAAGGAGGGGTGGGGATATTACAGTCTGATTTGTGATGTCAGCACACTTCTGGCAAGACAATAATTGAATGAATGAAGGTGAAGTGTATTTTTTTTTCTGGGGGGTTGGTTCCCCCTGCCTGGGTAAGTAAGTTTATTCAGGTATACACAAATACAGTTACATAGATTATCATATGCAAAACAACCACTGTGAAAAAATAGTGAAATTCCAAGCACTTTCATGACTTTTCACATTATCCTTGATAATGTGAGAAGTCACAAAAGCACTTGGAATTTCACTATTCTTTCACAGTGGTTGCTTTGCATATTCTGATATCACCTGTTTACTGTGATCTTATTGCATAGATTATCATACATCAGAGCATATGTGTAGAGAACCTAAGATAACCCAAAAAAGTCATTGAGGTAAAAGAAAAAAATTAGAGAGGCAGTGAGAAAGTGGAAAAATATGAACATAAGCTAGACAGTGTTACTGCACAAAAGCAGTCTTGTGTCTAATGCTACTTTATTCTGTATGAAAAATAAAAGAGGACCACCTCATAGTACCTATCACTTAGAGAACACAATATGGCAAGTGCTAAAAAAGCCAGGAAAATAACAACCACATAAGGCCAGTAAAGTGTTTAAACTACTGGGAATGCCTTAGAATACTGGATATGCACTCTGGAGTGGAGGAGAGAGATTACTGATAATACTGTACACATGGAAGATACTGGAGGGCTTAGTCCCAAACCTACATGCTTTATAACAATGTACTGGAGTGAGAAATATGGGAGGATGTGTATAATGGACCCAGTGAAAAGCAAAGTGCCACAGGGACAATAATTGAATACTGTGTCAACAACCGTGGTCCATGATCATATATCTTGCTACCGGCTGATATCAGAAACATATCTGGAACAAATGTAGAAGTTTTCAAAAGGAAATTGGATTGCTACCTCTTCCAAGTGCCAGATAAACTGGGCAGTATTAGATATGTGTGCCAACAGTCTTCCAGTATCAATTATCTGATTGAATAGGCAGTCATCAGAAAAGCCTGGCCCCAGTTGGGCTGCAAGAACACAAGACCCCTCAAAACCAGTCACATGTATATGTATCATATCTTTTTTTTTTTTTTTTTTTTTCAACAAGTCGGCCGTCTCCCACCGAGGCAGGGTGACCCAAAAAAGAAAGAAAATCCCCAAAAAGAAAATACTTTCATCATCATTCAACACTTTCACCACACTCGCACATTATCACTGTTTTTGCAGAGGTGCTCAGAATACAACAGTCTAGAAGCATACACATATAAAGATACACAACATATCCCTCCAAACTGCCAATATCCCAAACCCCTCCTTTAAGTGCAGGCATTGTACTTCCCATTTCCAGGACTCAAGTCCGACTATATGAAAATAACCGGTTTCCCTGAATCCCTTCACTAAATATTACCCTGCTCACACTCCAACAGATCGTCAGGTCCCAAGTACCATTCGTCTCCATTCACTCCTATCTAACACGCTCACGCACGCTGCTGGAAGTCCAAGCCCCTCGCCCACAAAACCTCCTTTACCCCCTCTCTCCAACCCTTTCGAGGACGACCCCTACCCCGCCTTCCTTCCCCTATAGATTTATATGCTTTCCATGTCATTCTACTTTGATCCATTCTCTCTAAATGACCAAACCCACCTCAACAACCCTCTTCTGCCCTCTGACTAATACTTTTATTAACTCCACACCTTCTCCTAATTTCCACACTCCGAATTTTCTGCATAATATTTACACCACACATTGCCCTTAAACAGGACATCTCCACTGCCTCCAACCGTCTCCTCGCTACTGCATTTACCACCCAAGCTTCACACCCATATAAGAGTGTTGGTACTACTATACTTTCATACATTCCCTTCTTTGCCTCCATAGATAACGTTTTTTGACTCCACAGATACCTCAAAGCACCACTCACCTTTTTTCCCTCATCAATTCTATGATTAACCTCATCCTTCATAAATCCATCCGCCGACACGTCAACTCCCAAGTATCTGAAAACATTCACTTCTTCCATACTCCTCCTCCCCAATTTGATATCCAATTTTTCTTTATCTAAATCATTTGACACCCTCATCACCTTACTCTTTTCTATGTTCACTTTCAACTTTCTACCTTTACACACATTCCCAAACTCATCCACTAACCTTTGCAATTTTTCTTTAGAATCTCCCATAAGCACAGTATCATCAGCAAAAAGTAACTGTGTCAATTCCCATTTTGAATTTGATTCCCCAAAATTTAATCCCACCCCTCTCCCGAACACCCTAGCATTTACTTCCTTTACAACCCCATCTATAAATATATTAAACAACCATGGTGACATTACACATCCCTGTCTAAGACCTACTTTTACCGGGAAGTAGTCTCCCTCTCTTCTACACACCCTAACCTGAGCCTCACTATCCTCATAAAAACTCTTTACAGCATTTAATAACTTACCACCTATTCCATATACTTGCAACATCTGCCACATTGCTCCTCTATCCACTCTATCATATGCCTTTTCTAAATCCATAAATGCAATAAAAACTTCCCTACCTTTATCTAAATACTGTTCACATATATGCTTCAATGTAAACACTTGATCTACACATCCCCTACCCACTCTGAAACCTCCTTGCTCATCCGCAATCCTACATTCTGTCTTACCTCTAATTCTTTCAATTATAACCCTACCATACACTTTTCCTGGTATACTCAATAAGCTTATTCCTCTATAATTTTTACAGTCTCTTTTGTCCCCTTTCCCTTTATATAAAGGGACTATACATACTCTCTGCCAATCCCTAGGTACCTTCCCCTCTTTCATACATTTATTAAACAAAAGTACCAACCACTCCAACACTATATCCCCCCCTGCTTTTAACATTTCTGTCATGATCCCATCAGTTCCAGCTGCTTTACCCCCTTTCATTTTACGTAATGCCTCACGTACCTCCCCCACACTTACATTCTGCTCTTCTTCACTCCTAAAAGATGGTATACCTCCCTGACCAGTGCATGAAATTACTGCCTCTGTTTCTTCCTTAACATTTAAAAGTTCCTCAAAATATTCTCGCCATCTACCCAATACCTCCATCTCCCCATCTACTAACTCCCCTACTCTGTTTTTAACTGACAAATCCATATTTTCCCTAGGCTTTCTTAACTTGTTTAACTCACTCCAAAATTTTTTCTTATTTTCATTAAAATTTCTTGACAGTGCCTCTCCCACTCTATCATCTGCTCTCCTTTTGCACTCTCTCACCACTCTCTTTACCTTTCTTTTACTCTCCATATACTCTGCTCTTCTTATAACACTTCTGGTTTGTAAAAACCTCTCATAAGCTACCTTTTTCTCTTTTATCACACCCTTTACTTCATCATTCCACCAATCACTCCTCTTTCCTCCTGCCCCCCACCCTCCTATAACCACAAACTTCTGCCCCACATTCTAATACTGCATTTTTAAAACTATTCCAACCCTCTTCAACCCCCCCACTACTCATCTTTGCACTAGCCCACCTTTCTGCCAATAGTCGCTTATATCTCACCCGAACTTCCTCCTCCCTTAGTTTATACACTTTCACCTCCCTCTTACTTGTTGTTGCCACCTTCCTCTTTTCCCATCTACCTCTTACTCTAACTGTAGCTACAACTAAATAATGATCCGATATAATATCTATGGTATTGATATTATATGTACACATCTGATTCATGTACATATACTGCATTGCTTTATCTCTTATGATCTATGCATGAAATGGTGATGTATTTATTATACTGACTCTCCCTTCCTCCTTTACTTCACACATCTGAATTGTCTTTAAAATTATATTTGTTTATGAGGGAGTGATAACATAGTGTTTAGTGGAGTGGCACA